AGATGGCTGCTTATCACTGCATTTTAGCTATTTTCATTCCTCAAGGTGCTCTGGCACCCTGCCTGATTTGTAACTCCGACTTGCAGGTATTTTTAATCAAATGATTGGTATTTAGGGCAGCTTTTTGCAAGCAAAGAAGCTTTTTGTATTTTTGTACAGGTAATCCTTGACTTACAACAGTTCATTTCGTGACCATTCAAAGTTATAATGGCACTGAAAAAAGTAACTTATGACCATTTTTCACACTTATGACCATTTTTAGCACCCCCACTGTCATGAGAAGCCAGGCCAGGAGAAGTGCCCCTTGACATGAATGATGTCAAGTTGGCCATGCCCACCCAGTCACATGACCACCAAGCCACACCCACCAACTAAGCCACACCCACAGAACCAGTTGTTAAAAAACTGAATCCCACCCCTGGGGAAATGGCAAACCACTTCTGAAATCTTGCCAAATAACATGAAAAGACTTATCAGTCAGTTGTGAGGAGTGAACAATGACATGAAGGAACACCATCCAAAAATGGAACAGTGTATCCTTAATCTATATAGGTAATTATTAAATATAGAATATAGATAGAATAAGAGTATAATTATGCACAAATTAATATTTGTAAATATTGCACAAATGGGTGTTATATGATAAGCACCACAAAAAGCTGTTATTGAATGATATATTTTTTAATGTTTTTAATGCAATAAAAATTCAATAAAGTTTATTTAAAAAAATAAAAATGGAACAGTGTAGGAAGGCAAAACTTGTGGTTTTAAAACTATGAGACTCAGTACGTAATCCTTCATATTTAAATAAGTATATATTCTCCAAATATACCATTTTGTAAGCATTTTCATTACAAATTGAGATTAATGATCATTTTCTATAGATTTATATCATAAGAAATGTAAAGTTTTTATGCCACTTAAAAGATTTTTAAATAGCATAGTTATTGAAAAAATGTTATTAATTTCCAGTATCACATTTTGCAGCCTATCCAAGTGAAGGGATCAATGAAGAATAAATTTGGGGAAACACAAAATCTCTTATTTCACATTTGTTCCTATGTTCTCATTTCAGTGACTTTCTAAGTAGTATTGTTGTAATGAGGAATGACTATCATCTGTCTATTTAATCTTAGTCCAATTTGATGATACAAATCTATGAATTTCCAACTCTTGGTAAATCTCAATTGTTGGAATTCAAAATGGATACAAAAAATATTCAGAAGTATATTTTTCTATTTTTTTAATCTATTCTTCACAATTCCTTTTCTAATTCATTAAGTAAAATAACATGCTAGAACTAATTCTGAACTATTTGCTTCTAGTACTGAAAGAACATTTATTAAAAAAACAACAGATTAAATTTCATTAAATTCTCATGGGTGAATGTAGTCATTTTTACATTTATCTCAGCTGCAAATGGTCAAGTGAAATGTTCAATGGACATGGCTTCTAGAATATAATATAATTGCTCCAGTAGTATGCTGTCTCTCTGGATCTGTTGCTTTCCAATAAAAGAAATAAAGAACAAATTTCTCCATTGGGCTTCTTTAACTAGAAAGTATAAAGAATCAGTGAAACTTCAAATTGATAGAAAATGAATATGAATATGAATATATATATATATATATATATTTTCACAGCTGAAAGTCTGACTCACAGACGAACACAATACAGAAGATTGATAATGGCAGATGAGATTTTGCCAAAATGTTGCTACAACTTTCAAATCACAACTATAATGACGTGGGAAAATACCCGAACAAAGCTGAATACCATATTGGCTAGGCAATTCCATGCATTTTTATTCTTTACAAACCATCCTTGTTTCTACCACAGCCATGTATTTCTTCATACCATTGCCATTTGTTATTCACACTTCTAACACCTTTCTTTCTGAGGATCTCTTCACCTCTGTGCAGTCACAACTTGGTTAGTCTTTCCTTTCCTCTTAACCCATTCACTCTTATTTCACATGTTGTGTAATATAATTTCCTACTCTTACTCAAACTTAACAGATTTCATACAGATATTCATTTTTATATTCAATCTACATTAATTTAACCTACTCTTGCCTTTATCATGCACATTTCTAAATGCACCATTCTGATACACTGAACTTATTTTTAAGTTTCTTTTGATAAGCTGAATTTTCACAGTACAAAGTAAGCAAGGACATGCTCTTATAAACAGCTTTCTTAAACATTCATTCCTTAAAACACGCGCTATGCTTTCTAGTGTTACTTGCACTTCTTAATTTTTTTTCCCACCCATCTTCAAATAAACATTCTATGGTACCAAGCAGTGGTGGGATGCTGCCGGTTTAACAGCCGGTTCAGTGAATGTGCGCTTCATGCTTGTGCACAAGCATGAAAATGGAGCAGAGCTGCTTATCTTCCAAGTCAGCAACAGTAACTAGAACAGCAGGGGGGGGGGGGAATCAGCTGTGCCGCGTGATTGAAATGTGCTACAAAGGAGGAAATAAAGGACAGGATAAGGCAGGAGCAAGTGGGCAAGGCCAGCTGACTATTGGAGCTACCAGTTGGCCTGAACCAGTCCGAACTGGCAGCATCCCACCACTGGTACCAAGCTACAAATTCACCATTTGCCTGTTGCAATTGTTCACTCAGTTTCCCCATTAAAAAAAATCCAAGTCCTTCAATATGTCTATTTTCACAACCTCTTCGTATACTTCTCTTTGCATCACATGTTCTTGGCAAATCATTTGATATCAGCAACTTATTTTCACATACTAACCAATAGATTTCTTACATTATTATCATGATTCCTTATACATTTATCATGCATGAATACATTAAAAAACCAAGAGTACATAACAATTCCTCATTTCATTCCCTGCTTCGTGTTCAACTATTCATTAAGAATTCAATTAATTTTCACCATGTTATACTCTTATCGCATTCTGCAACCAACTTTTAACTCAATACTTATGTAAAACATTCCATAATTCAAGCCCACTCACCTATCATACACTTTCTCTGAATCAACGAATGTACAATAAATGTTCCCTTCACATTCATAAATCTTAACTTACTTTATAAACAACAAAAATGATAAGTGCATGCCTCCTGCCTGGCATAAAGCCACATTACAGTTCCTAAATTTTACTCAATGTCCCTTTCTATCAAAATATACTTTCCCAGATCTAGGCAACAAATTATTCTCCCCTCAATTTTTATGTTCCTCTTTTACTTTGAATTGTGGGACAATACTAATATTTTTTCTATCATCAAACAGATTTGGTTTTCATACAGATGTTAAATAATTTATGTATCCTTTCCATTAACAAACCACATTCCTGTTTTAACATTTCCTCGTCCATACCATCTATACCTGCTGTTACTCTTCTTTAGCATTCTTACAGAATGAAACTGAACTTTTCTAAGCAGATACTCAACAATTGTTATTTTCAAACATTCATTCATTGAAAGATTTCTCACAGAAAACAACCTATAGCTGCTTCTAGAGAGCTTCAAAATTCCAAGCAAATCTGAAATTCTCAAGGATCTTGATGTTAAAATAGAACGATTTTTTGAAAAAATATGAGGCACACTTTTCCAGAGCACTCTTTTTAATAAATAAGTAGATTCTTGTTTTTCTTGTTCATATAGAAAAATATGAAGCACAATCAAAAATGGATGTGAAACAAAATCATCATCATGATAGAATTATTAAAAAAAATTAACTTATGTCGCCAATTCTGATACTAAGATTGAAGTTTCCATTTGGAAATGTTTCACCAACTTTAAAAGGAATCTAATGAAAATATTTTTATGCAGCTCAGCTATTTTTGTAAACCACTCCCATTATATTGCTTATCTGCTAAGCTGAAAATCTTGATGTAGCATGCAGAAAGTTATGACACGGACTTTGAAGTAAAAGTATAATTCATAATAGTTTTCAACTATTATGTTGAAATAATAACATGTACAATAAATTAAGACCACCACCTAAAAAGAATTATGTATTAGATTTTAATATGTTGCCTATGTATTAGCACTGTTTAGCATTTGAATACAAAGATGTAATTTGATTGTGCAATGGTACATACCACCTGCAAGGAATCTCTCAGAGACGTTGCTGCTTTGAACACTCCTCAAAGATGATTATGAATGGATACCAAAGCTTAACAGAAAAGCAAGTGAGAAAGCCCCAAGGTTCCAATAAAAAATGATTCAAACAAATGACTAGTATGCAAGATTGTTTATAAAAAAAGCTTATCATACGATGTCTTCACTGATTTGATATTTTTCTTCTAACCAGCTTAAATAAGTACTATTTATAATATTTCTAAATATCAGAAGATCTCTTTGCAATAACTGAGAAGGTCTAGCATGTTATCAAAATTGGGAGATGGGAAGATATCTCCAGAATTCAAATATTTAATATTCAATGTTTTTTTTTTAATATTGTTAATAACTTTTTTCAAATGGTCAAGCAATTAATAAGTAAAAAATAATTTATGGCAAAATTCCTAGTGTTCCCAACTGAGTTGTTATAAGCAAAAAATTGAAGTCTTAAGCATGACCTACAATTAACTAAAATTTATTTCATGTTTTCAGAATGGCAGCAGAAATTGAGTGCCTCTAACATTGCCTTCTGAGGAATTACCTTTTTTGCATTCATTTTCCTGGATGCAGAAAATATTTTGGAATATAACACTTTAGGACATTTCTTCACTGGAAGTAAAAACTCTATTAAAACTACTACTTAGATTTTCTTAATTAATTCTGACTAATCACTAATTACATTCCAAAAAATATCCTAAAAGTATCACATACTATAAAATATATTGTGCAGTACACATGGTTTTCTATAGATTAGATGTCACTCCTAAAAGTACTCCACAATTATAGTTTCCCAGCGAATTGCTTGTGTCACAGCTATGGTATCCGTGATAAGTACCAGAAAATGTTATGAGGTGCCTAGAGTTTAGTAACATCAGTTTTCAAACATTAAACAATGTTCTTTCTACTTACCATGTAATTTTTTTGCCACTTCACAGAAGAAAGGGTGCAATATATTTGGGCTTTTTATTGCTTTTGTAGAAAGTGCTCTTTACCTTTTTTCAATATTTGTACATAAGAAAAAACAAAACAAAAGCGAAAACAGTTTTCCAGGTGGGGAAAAATCACACTGTTGTTGTGGTTGATTTCCTCAGGATGGTCTTTTGGGGTTTTGGTGCAGTTGGTGGAGGCACAGTTGCAGGTCTGAGAGGGGGAAAGCTATTACTGGGACATATGCCCACCCCACCATTTTCTAATTGGGGAGGAGGAAGTGGTGAAGGAGGTGGTGATGAGGGAGGACACTGCTGAGGAGGTTTTCCTGGGTTATGAGCAGGCTCATTGTGCAAATGAACCTCCCTGTTTTTAATATTATACCGCATGTCACAATCAGCACAATAGCCATGGTACTGCACCTTTTCATTAAATCGTACCCGTTCCCGTGTTCCAGCTTGAGGACATCTGTCTTTCTCAGTTCTGTGCATAAGAGGTTGTATCGGAACTTTGTCCAAATTATTATTTGATATACCATATGTATCTCCATTTGGAATTTTATTAGGTCCTCCTGGTAAGCTTCCATTTCGTAGCAGAGTCCCATTAGTCTTTACTGGATTGGCAGAGATAACTGGCCTGTGGGTGTCTTCACACTTCACTGGAGTCAATCGTGGAGGAGGTGGGGGTGGATTAGGTTTCCTTAATACTGTTAGAATAGCAGATGGATGGGCCGGAGCCCTGATGAGTGGGGCGCTGCCTTGAACCTTTATTTTTTCCAAACTTGATGCTGTTGTGCTACTTGAACTGCTATTCAACGTGTCTGTTTTTGAGCTGTCAGTCATCTCATCTTCCAGTTGCAGATCAGAAGTGAGTGTATCAATCTGGTCAACCACCTGCATGAAAATCAAATGCAAATAATGATAAGGATTTATGACAATTAAAAACAGTAGAATTTGCAACCATTTTATAATAATTAAGCAGTATACATCAACAAAGCACCATTTGATGTAAATGTATTGACACATAAAAAATAGGAAAGAGTCTATCTTTTATGTTCCTTGATGTAAATTAGACATTTTCATGTTTGAATTATAATATTAGAATGGCAACTACCAGAAAATTGGCATAACAGGAAGGTTAAGAGGATCTTTAGAGCAACCTGCAGTAAATGGAACATCAGAATTATTGCAGAAAATGTTTGAAGAATTAGACAAAAAGTTGTCCAAATCAGTACTAAATTGACAAGTTTTGAATATAGAAAGGATGAAAAACTTGTTAAGATGAAAGAGGAAATGAAGAAGTTAAAAATATGGAGAAACTATACTGAATGCGCGTATGAAACAAATTAATGACAAAGTAGTAATTTTGAAACATAAAATGGAATTTATAGACATGGAAATAAATTCAGATAATCTGGCATTTAAGTTGAGAAAGAAATTTTTTTTCTTCAGATTCAAAACAATTCTAGAGGATTTTGGAGAAAAGGTAATTGAAGTTTTATCAGTTTTTTGGATCAAAATGAGAAGACAGAAATTAATACAATTTATAGACTGAACACAAACAGTATTTATGAAATTAAGAAATGTTCTGAGGGATATTCTAGTATACCTTTTTCAGAAGAACCCATCCATATTCTGCAACAGAATTTTAACACAATATTGAAATTTGATGATAGAGATATAATTGTGCTTAAAGAAATTTTAATTACGGTAGAATACTGTGTAAGAGAAATAATGCTTCTTTCTTTACTGATAGACTTAAACAAAAAAAGATTTCATTTAGATGGGATAATTTTTACTTTTAAATAGAAACTTAATTTAAACTATTTGGTTTTGATTGAATTCTATGAAGAAAGCAAGAGAATTTCCAGAAAAATTCAAAGAACCAAGGATAACACAAATGGATGTGACAGATAAGATCGCACAAAAGTCTCCAAAGGTGCAACAGGAAAGTGAGAGGGATGATACTGAATTAGGAGCCACAGGTATTGAGTTTTCTCATTTTGGGCTGGATTATAGATTACAAATGCTTAACAAGGCACGTTAATGGAGATAATTTTCCAGAAAAGAGATTGTTTTCATTATTTTAAAGAATTAACATATATATGCTTACAAGACACACATATTAGAAAAGAGGAAACAAAATATTTGGATCAATTTATTTCAGCAGGGAAAAAAAGAATTATTTTGTATATGAATCCCCAACTAAAATTAGAATTTATATTGATTGATACACATGGAATATATGTTGTAGTGGAAGTTATCATTACGACAAATGTGAACAGTATTTTGTTTCAAAATAATCGTGTTAAGACATGGAATGAATTTTAAAAAGATATGTTAAGTTAGATGAATTACAGTTGTTATTCTTGGGGATAATTTCTGTAAAAAACTTGAATATTTTGTCTAGAATAACATTTTTGTTTTAGATAATACCAGTCTTGGTAATTGATGCACCATTTAAACAGTGGAAAAGTATTTAAGTTTCTATGGCAAAGGAAATTAAATAATGGTCACTAAACAACCGTTCAAAGTTATGACAAACCTGAAAAAATGGGATTTAAGATCTCCTCCATAGCCAAGTGACCAAACTTTGGGAACTTGGCAACACAGCTATATTTACAGCCATGTGCAGCATTTTGTCGTTCAGATGGTTTTGTTGAAAACTGGCACTTCTGGCTGTAGACAAAACCACATCTATAACAAACCATTCATTTGCTTTATGACTATGACATTCACTTTACAACTGCCACATTTGCTTAACAAAGGACACAAAAAAGACAGGTAAGTGTCTTTACAATATGTAACCATAATGAAAGATTCCATTATAGTTGTATGTTGTACAGTTTAAAGTCATCCTTCTACTCTATTTTGGAACTCTGGTAACTAATACTATGGTATATTGCATCTTAGCAGCAGGGAAAGGAGAAATTCAGTGGTTTGGAGATAAAATGAGGTAAATGTTCTGTCAATGAGAAATGGCCTATCCATCCCCAGATCTATGGAACTCCAGCTTATATCAGTTTCATAAAGAAGTGTTTGTAAGTGTTCCTGATACAGAGTTGAGCCAGATATACATCACTTTAGTTCAACTGAGATAATAGTAGAGGATGATAACAATGTGATGTCATCTAGAACTGGCAACAAAATCCCATACATTTTTGTTGTCTAAATAAATACCCTAAATACCAGTTTACAATTGTTTGAACACAAAGGATATGTAAACTTTTTGCTTCATTTCTCAGCATTGCCCAGCATTTTAAAGTCAGATTTAAAAGGACATGTACTCCATTTGTGTCATAATGGTTCTATAGGTTTTATCCACCATTTGTTATGTATAATATATAGTTAATAAACAACTATTTATAATTTACATATTTTCATAAAAGTATAAGGACCTCAAGTCAGAATTTATTTAATTCTTTTGTCTTGCTGTTAGGCTCCATTCATTGCAATTAATTAAATTAAAACCACAATGCTTTTTAAAAATTATTGAATATACTTTGCTATGATTAATTTTATTGTAATAATCACTACATGCTGCATTTATCTTACAACTATTGTGCCCTAAGATCATTTATGTTGCTTAAAACTCTTTGAAAACCCCAATATTTTCACATTAAACTTGTGGCCATGGCATTCAACAAAATATCATTCCATACATGTGCTTTTGGATTCAAATTTTAAACTCAAAAACAAACAATAACCTAAAAATCAAGCTTTAACTGATTCTTAATAAATTGGGTCTCCACCATTAGTGATCTACCAAGCCAAACAAGTCAATTATTTTAACCTGCCAAGTTTTTGACAAATCATTTTTGCAATCTCATGTAGCAGAAAAACAGCAACACTAACATTAATTGACCCAACATGTCCTTAAATCATTAACTGGCAGTGGTGCTGCAATCATTATATATCTTTGAATTTAGTTCAAAATAGAAAACTACATTTTCAAAACATCATTCCAAGGTCCAATTTCAATATAAGCAGAAGGTTATCATTTCAGCTTAGTTTTGTACTAGATCAAATCTTGCCTAGTGTCGTTACTGAAATGAATCTTTCCAAGGTCTACTAATGAGATATGATGTGGATCAGTCATACATAAAATAAACACATAAGAAGTATATGTATATTACTAACTTAGTATCATCCATATTAGATATGTTCAGTGTGTTACTTTCTGTTCCAAAATTCCAAGTCAGAATCTGGGAATTGAGAACCAGAGTCCAACAACTGCTACTTGGAAATTTGGGAAGCTGTAATTAAACAAACATTCAAGACGCAGATTGGGAAAGGCTGGTCTGCACTAAGGTTGCTATTTTCTAGTGTAAGCATCACATTTACCAGGAAATATGAATCCTTTAAGATCTAATGTAGAAACATATTATATATAGAGATAGCTATGGAGGTTTTTTTAAATAACCATGCATAAATACTTATTTGATTTGAGTATATTTCCTATGCAATAACATATATGTTTATTTAATAATCTTATATTATTTTAACAATGATCATGTTATTTTTTTCAAAATATCCATTTACCTTAACAATAATTCTTAAATAAAGAATTGTGAAAAAGAATATTTTTGTTGTATTTCCACTGTATTTCTTCTTATGCTACAGTACAACAGATTCGGTAAAGCAGTTTGGCTATTTCTGTCTTTCATGTCCTTACAGGCCTCTTATTGTAACCATGTAAGCAAATGATTTAAGTGAATTGTGTTTTATCTTTGGAAAAGTGATTGGATGCCACTGGTTTTCATAAGAAATCTGTGTTCTGCCTTTGCAATACCATCTAATTAATCTGGGTGAAAGGTTATATGAGTTTAAAACTGAGACAATAAATATATGGCCATATTAAGTTGCAAAAAATAAAGAAGTAAAAAAGTAGTCTCCTTACATATGACAGGTGGTTTTTAATATATAATCAGAAGACTTTCAGTGTCTTCCAAGAGTATCCTTTCTTCATTAAAGTATTAATTTGAAAATAAATGTACAATTATAAATATTATTTGACACTCTAGATCATCTGTTTTGAGATAATCAAAACTATGTGCCTCCAAGTATTAATAACCCAGGTATTAAATGGCCATTAATATGATAAGATGTTAAAAGTTTAGGAAAATGAGCTGGATCACTCTCATAAATTATTAGCAAGAACAAGGAAATTTTCATCCAAGTATACAATTTATGAATGAAGGTCATGAACTATCTTTGTGATGACCTAGGGTGTGGCACAAAAGCAACAAAGTCACAAAAGTAGTAGTCCATTTAATACCTCCAACTTGGCCCCCAATGTCCAGTTAACTCTCCCAAGAACAGTTTTTAAAGGGAAGAAATTCAGTCCGAACCCAAAGTACATATAAATTATAAATAAAAACCAACACAAACTACACTGCAGCAATTAACAAGACAGGCAGGAAGATTAAGGAATTGCAGACACACACACAGTTGGGAGGACGCCAGAACCCAGACTTGACAAACAAAGATAATTCACGCTTTGCACCCTTTTAAAATCCTGTTTTCCCAGTTGCAGCTAATGAAGGGAATCAGGGCCCTTTTCTCTCCCGCAGGTGCGCTGCAGACCACTAGTGAAGACCACTGGTTGGAGACCTCTGTTTTAAAAGATGTGCTTCATCCAACATATGACTTCCAGGACATTTATATTGAAGGAGGAAGAGGCCCTTCAGCACACCATTGTGAGGGTAGGGAAACTGATGTTCTTATCATGGTACTGCAACTTTGAAATACCTGTTTTTTTTACATTGTCTGTTTTGATGTCACTACTTTAATTTGAATATAACTTCATAGCTATATGCTGTACTACAATTTTCAATTTTTCTGCTTTATATTATTCTATTGTTTTTAACCTTTTAAAATAGTTTTTATTTCAT